AGGTTACGTTTACCGTTTCCTGTCCCTAAACTTTGGGCCAGCAGACGTTCACAGGTCACTTTCGTCCATCCCCTACAGTCTTGTTCGCTGCGGACGCCGAGTGCTTCAGAATAGGCAAGGTAGGGTTTGAAGCGGCAACAGCCAGTTTCCGACAGTTGTGGAGGCGTGGAGAACGAGTTGGCGCCGCGCCAAACCGCGCCTCCCAACCTGAACCCTTGTACGGCATACTCGGCACTAATGGCACAGTTCACGATTAACCACGCCTCTTGGGGCGAAAAACGCCCATCAAAGGTAGTGCACGACGGCTAATAGATTCACTGGTCTGTCTGCTCTCCCCCTTGTTAAGTGGTCTCCTCGCGCAGGCACTCAGTGTTTCTTCAGTGCTCAACTCAAAACATAATGCGTCTACGAGGGCTTTTTTTGGGACGCCATGGGTAGTTTTTCTTTTTCTCTTCTCTGGCGACCCAATTTGCACCTGCGAATGCTTCTACGCTCAACCCATGACCACGAAAAGTGCATTCAAATGTAGGCCAAGTTCCGGGTGACGTCGCCTACTGTGACTGACTATCACCCGGATCTTCCTCTCAAGTGCAGCAGCTCCTTTCTACGTGGGAAAACGGAAGCACTTATAAAGGCATAAAAACCTGCTCAAACTAGACAGGACTCAATTTCTAAGGCACTTCATATCTCGAAGATTGGGGAGGCGGGACGTGATTCCCTTTGGATGTGGCGTCGGCTGCGCTTTTGGGAGAATCCTGCCGTTGCCGAAAAATTGTGGTCCTTTGTTTAGTAGGACAACAGGATGACAGTTTGCAGAGGGAAGAAAAAGAAAAGGATATTCTACAAAGAATGATGCTGCATCATGTCCAAGTGATGTGACAGTGAGTGAGTGGAAGGGAATACGCAGACCCGCCTACCCCATCTCCGCGATATGGAATGTGGAGTTGAGTCCTAACCACTATCAATTCGTCCTCATGAACTGTAGAATATGGGAATGAAACCAAACCGTTTGCGGTACGTTGTCGTCCAAGGCGAGCATTTTCTCAGCAGCTCGTTCAGCCTCCTTCTTCAGCGTTTCGTACGACGCCAAACGGTCACGCGACTTACGCAACTCGATAATTGCACCACTGAGCGATATTTCGCTGCTG